CGCATCGCTGATGCATCGACGATTCACAACAGATTTCGCCGCGAGCGGCGAGCAGATCCATTGCCGCGCCCTCGCCATATCCGCGCGCTCGCAGTTTGGATTCCATGGCACGAGCCCGCGGATACGCGCTCGCACGCATACGTTCCGCGCGGGGCACCCGCGACAACAAAAAAAACACCTCGCATCCGCGGGGTCACGGCCCAGGTGGCCGGCCCGCGAGGCCGCGGATACGGATGTGCTTCTTGCCCCCGGGTGGGGGGAGGTCTGCCTCCAGATCGCGCCGCACTGCCACTGCCTCTCGTGGGGGGGCCACATGCGAACCCTGCCCCATGCCCCCCACGGTTTCTGAGGGGGAGGGCGGGGTTCGCCTCGTTCGCCCTCGGCCCCAGAACGCGTGGGGGGTAGGGGTAGGCTTCGCACGTGGCGCCCCGCCTCTCGACGGCTCGATGCGATCCGGGGACCCCGCCCACTCCAGCCCCCACTTTCCCGTCCGAAGGGGGGCGGCGCGCGGGCGGCCGACGGCCGCCCCCCGCGCGCGCAGCCCCCCCCCCCCCCCCCCCCAAGGAAACCGTGGAAGGGCACGGGCTGTGAGGTTCGGAAGCCGGGCGAGGGCTGCGAAATCCGTGGCTGCTAAAATCGACCTCCGGGAAGTTGTCTTCGAAGCGTCCTCCCGGGAAGGAGCCCGTCGACTGTCTCGCGCGCCGCGCCCCTCCTTCCGGGAAGCTGATGTTCTTCATTCCGGGGGGGCCGTTTTATAGCAGCCACGGCTTCATAGCAGCCCCCGCCCAGCTTCCGCGAGGTGCAACAGGGGAGCAGCACGCCAACGCGTCGGGGACCGCGCTGCGGACGGACCGCGGCAGCAGGGCACGAGCAGCGCGCCGGCACGTCCGCCGCGGGTACCCGGGGCCAGCGAGAGGCGTGGCGCGTCCGCACGCTGCGGTCCTCGCCGGGCCACCTCGAGACTGGCTGTGACTATTTCGGGGAAGAAAGTAACCAGCCTCGAACGTATCCCTATCCCTAAGATGGGCGAGCAGAAAGCGAGGACGATCTTAGGGATAGGCCCTCAAAAACTGAGGAAACCCTTAAGATCGGCATCAAGGTGAGGTGATGTCGAACATAGGGATAGGGATATGTTCCAGGCTGGTAAGAAAAACTACATAAACATAAAAACTCGGAGGTCCGCGCGGATTTCTCGGATCGGGGCTGGGGGCCCCCCGGCGGCGCCTCCGGCGCCGCCCCTGGCGCGCTCCGCGCGCCGGGGAGAGGGGTCCAGCGCCGATCCAAGAAGTCCGCGCGGACCTGCGAGTTTTGTATATATATATATATACATGTGTGTGTGTGTGTTTGTGTGTGCGTGTGTGTGTGGCATGTTTTCTTCCCCTATTACTTCTGGTAACTAGCGGTCGGTAGTTGTGATTATTTCCGGGGGGGGCCGGGGTAACGCTAGCACTTGGGCGGGGTGGGTCGCGTCGGGGCGGAGGTGCGCTGCGATCGCCGTACATACGCGCGCGAGCACAGCCCTGTGGGGGGGGGGTCAGGCCCACCTCCCCCGCGTACACGGGGACGGGGGGGGGGCCGGGGTACAGACCGTTCCGTGCCCGAGGGTAAAAAAAAACAATGAAACGAGGACCGGCAGCACGGCTGCCAAAACCAGCGGCTTTCGGAGGCCGACTAGACCCGGGTCAATCCAAGCCAGGGGTCATTCGGGACTTGCCGGATCCTGCAAGATCCTGCAAGATCCCGCGCTCAACCCCAGGTCAATGCATCCTGCTCGCTGCAGGATCCAGCAAGATCTGGCGCTCTGACTGGCCCCCGTTTGCCTTGGCCCCCGTCTCTTGAGCCCCGCGGTTTTGGGCAGGGACCGACCATCCTGGCAATCCTATAGGCCTACCACGAAATTCTCTTGGAACCCAAACATGTTCTTACAACGAAAACATGTTCTTAGAACAGAAACACGATGCGTTAAAACAAATCAACCTCCGCCAAAAATGTTTTAAGAGCGCGCAAACCACAAAAGGTTCTTAGAACATGTCTGGGTGGGCCTACGCGAACACCAGGACGTTTCGCCACTGCTCGAAGGTTTCCGCGGGGCCACTTCGAGCGCCGGGGCACGGAGAGCGCGGGGACCTCATCCGGCCCCCCGCTTGGGAGGCCTGAGGCTCGGAAGGCAGGTGTCGAGGGGCCGCGGGCTGGGACTCCGAGTCACCACACGAGCGCTCCAGACCTCCGACGACGCACGTTTTTGTTTTTGAGGGGGGTCGCCGACCCCCAGGGTTGTTCACCCCTTCCACGGCACCGGCCACTCATCCTGAAGAGCGTTGGACGGTCCACGGCGCATGACACAGAAACCATACAATGAAGACCGTGACCCCAAGTCACTGGCGCGATTTTTCTGGGTCGGCAAGCGCACATATACCGACGCGTATGTGTATACATGTAAGTGTAGGGATGTATGTTTGTATGCACGCATGGGTATATGTATGTAAGTGTGCATGCACTATATACAGGCGTGTATGTATACATGCATACATGCATGCATGCCTGTATGTATGCATGTGTGTATGTACGCATGTATGTATGCACGTAAGCAAACATGTGTTTATGTTTGTGTACGGAAGAAATCATGTACGGTTGGATGCGCATGTGCTTATGTATGTATGAATGTATGTATGTAGGTGCGATTGAATGAATGTATGTATATGTGTACGCCTGCGTATGTGTTTGTATGTATTTGTGTAATATGCGTGTATGTGCGTAGGTATGGTTGTTTGCGGAAATATGGTCACGGTCATGTTCGCTTGTATGTGCGTGCATGCATGTATGTACGAATGAACGTGTGAACGCATGCATGTATGTTTGTATTTTTGGTTGTACGCATGTATGTATACAGGTGTGTATGCATGGGTGTGTGCATGTGTATGTATGTATGTGTGTCTACATGTACGTATGTATGGATGTACGCATGCATATGGATGCGTGTATGTATGTATGTTTGTACGTATGTGTATATATGCATGAATGCACGTACGCATGCGCACGCACGTGCATATAAAACAGACAGATAACCCTGACGGGGCGATAATAAGTCCCACGGGACAATACAATTCGCGGTTCCCGCGGGGATAATAAAAGGATTTCCCTGGGGAAGGTCAATTCTGGCGATGATGATGATGATGATGGCGAGGGCGCAATGGCGATGAGGATTCTGGTTATGGCGATGACGAGGACGATGGGGGGTCGACACGCGAAGCAAGGATGGGCGGCGAAGATGCGAGGCCCTTGCAAGACCCAAAAATGGACCGAAGTGGCGAGAATGCAAGCGCGAAGCAATATTGCTCATCACCACCGCGCGGGCTGACTGCAATCGCGAACGGGGCGGAAAAGAGGAATAGAAAAGGCGGGAGCTGGAATAGAGACGAGGATGGCCCCGGGATCGATTTTGGAAAAGCATGAAAGGACTCGGGGCCTTCAGTTTTTCATTTGTAAAACAGATTCATTGATATTCGTTTTCAAGGGCGCATGAATGGGGGGGGGGCCATGATGGGGCCTCGCGGGTGATAAACAAAAACACCCGGGGATGAACAAAAAACCGAGGAAGGCAGGAGGCAGAGAGAAGGGAATGAGACAAGGACAATAAGGAAAACGAAAGGAATAATCAGAGCAGCGCAATCAAAGGAAAAAAGCAAAGGAAAAGGAGAGGGACATGCGAAACATCACAGAAGGGAAAAAGAATAAGAAAAATAAGCGAACTGAAGGAACATAATAAGAGAAATCCTGCTCGGCCGTCTCAGCCTCGAGCCTCGTGGCCACGAATTGCTTGTGAAAGCTCGTAGCAGAGCCGGACGTCTCGCAAGGCGAGGTTCTCAGCTTCTCGTGCGAGCTCGGGACCGCGGGCGGCGAAGTCTGCAGGCCCCAGAGGCTCGGCAAGCTCGTCTGCTTCGACGGCGTGACCATCGGAGTCTCGCTGCAAATCTGCGCTAGCTCGAAACAGAAAACCTCGAGCCAACGTGGCTACGGAAGGTTGTTCGTGTTAGCCTGTCGTTGGTGCTCCTTGGCGTTCGCTTGTTGTTCTTGCTTCTTTCGCTGCTGTTGTGGTTTGCTGTTGGGCCATCGCCGGGGCTCGCGACGCAGTCACGGGCAACGATGTGAGGGGATAAATCGACCTGGAATCGGCGATACATCGCCGATGCATCGGCGATGCCCGCCCGATGCATTGGCGATGTATCGCAGATTCCAAGTCGATGTCCACCCAAAAAATGCCTATCCCCCCCTATCGCTGCCCCTGGGGCGAAGAGGCTCGGCGCCTCGAAGAGGCTCGAAAGCTTGGAGTGTCGGAAACTCGGGGAAGCTTGGGCCTGGTCAGCTGCGGGGGCAGAGGGGGGGGAGGAGGAAGAGGAGGAGGATGAGGCGGAGGAGGAGGAGGAGAAGCAAGAGGAGGAGGATCAGGAGGAGGAGGAAGAGAAGCAAGAGGAGGAGGAGCAGGAGGAGGATCGGCCATTTTGGTAGGGATCAGCACTCGGCGAGTGCTGATCCCTACCCAAACGTCTTTCTGACGCTTACTCCATGTTTGTAACTAGTGCATCCCATGGCCCTGCCGCGCGGTCGTAACGTGGGCAAACTGAACTGGTGAGAATCCCACAGCCCTGCCACACGCTCGTGATTGCGGAAGCTGGTGTGGCGAGACCATCATGGCCATGCTCAGGGATTTTGATGCGGATGCTAATCAACATGATATGATAGCTACTCCGATCCCCGCAACTTTTCAGGTGATTATCAAGTTCGACCCCCGCGCCTTCCCCACAGATAGATCCCTGTGGGCGGGGAAAAAATAGAGGAGGAAAGGGGGGGCTCCTGTATTATCACCTCTTCGGGGTTAGCTAAGGCGCTACCTGGCCCAAACTGAATACAGATGCCATGGGGGAAACTGGCAAGAGAGCACAGAAGCGCCCGCCTCCACGCAGCTGCCGATCCAGCTCGAAGGCCTTCCCGAAAGTGTGAACCTTGATCAGCGGATCCACGCCCATGCCATGCCACACGAACACCGCGTAGTCGAGCTGCGAGCTGCTCTCGCCTGAGCAGAGGGGAGGGCGCGAACGGTCCAATGACCGCAGCTGAAGATAAACCTGAAGCAAACCGTTTCCGGGACGATGTCAGAAGAGCACGACTTAGTAGAGACAGAGACAGAGAGGCAGAGAAATGGAAAGAGAGAGAAAGAGAGATAGATAGAGTAAAAGAGGGAAGAGAAAGAGAGAGAGAGAGGGAGGGATAAACATAGAGAAGGAGAGAGAGAGAGAGAGACACAAAGCGAGAGAGAGAGAGAGAAACATATAGAAAGATCGCAACACCTCGGGACGCGTGTCAGCTCGGGCCCCCCGGGCAGCGAGCACCCGGCAGGCCGTCCTCGCAGCGCCCGGAGGCGCCGCAGACGCACCGCAACGGGGGGTCCTCCTCCTCCTCCTCCTCCTCCTCCTCCTCCTCCTCCTCCTCCCCCATCCTCCTCCTCCTCCTCTTCCTCCCCCTCCCCCTCCCCCTCCTCCTCTCCTCCTCCTCCTCCTCCTCCTCCTCCTCCTCCTCCTCCTCCTTCCTCCTCCTCCTCCTCCTCCTCCTCCTCCTCCCTCCTCCTCCTCCTCCTCCTCCTCGTCCTCTTGGGGGGCGGAAAGATACGGATACGTGTTGTCCCCGGACCTCTCTTGGGGTGCGTTCTGACCAGAATTTCGAGGCGAATCCAGCGGTGACAACGAGGATTCCCCAGGAGGACCAGGAAAGGCCGAAAACGACGGGGGACAACACGTATCCGTATTTTTTTCTCCCCCGATCCTCCTCCTCTTCCTCCTCCATCCTCCTTCCAACTCCTGGTGGGTTTACCCCCCCCCCCCCTCGGGGCGCGGCCACGGGGAAACCCCACCAGGAGGCCGGGGGGCGGGCGGCCGTGGGCCGACCGCTGTGGGGGGGGGGCCCGTCCTGCGCCCCCGTGGCGAACAGGGGGGGGCGCCGGCTCTTCGCCTCAATGAAGGGGCCCCAGGACACACAGATAAATACACACAAATAAAAAAAAAATCCCCATATTTTCCCATATGTTCTGGGTTTTTGTCCTTCCCCCTCATTTCCCATCTTTTCGGGGGCATCGACGATTCATTGTGTCTGTGTGTTTTTTTTCCCTCCTGAATCAAGTCGGGCGTGTCCCCCTACACGGGGGATGTTGGGCGAAAAATGAGAAATACACTAAAAAATACCCCCGAAATGCCAGACGATTGTCAAAGCATCGTCCCCGGAACATCTTTTTAAACCATGTTTGAATATTCCCCCCCCTGTAGAGGGACAGGCCCGACTTACTCTTAGCACCCTTTGGCATGGGCGCCTCGGCGACCATGGGAACTGAAGGGTGGGGCGCCTTGGGGCGCCCCCCGCAGCGGCCCGAAGAGGGCGACCGACGGTTCCCGTGCCAACTGTGCTCGCGGTCCGTGGAAATGGGGAGGGGGGCTAGCACTGGTGTGCCGCCCGCTGAGCCTCGAAGAAGGCCTGGAGGTTGGCAAGGAGGGCTGCCTCCCATAGCCTCAGGCTGGGCATGTCCCCCTACAGGCGGAATGTTGGACGAACCATCGGAAATAGTCGAAAAGTGCACCAAATTGGTCAGACGATGCAACACATGGTTCCCATACTACCTCTTTTCTTTTGGAATGGAAAGACCCGAAGGGAAAGTGCACGGCACCAAAACGGTCACACTTGAGACAGCCACTCTGGGTCAAAATTGTGGCCGGCACCAAAGCGACCCTAATAATTGAGCAGGGACCAACCGTCGCGGCATTCCTATAGTCATACCACGAAATGTTACTAGAACCCAAAAATGTTCTAAGAGCAAAAACAAAGTTCTTAGAACATCAACCCGATGTGTTAAAACAAGACAGTCCTAGCCAGAAATGTTATAATAACACTTCGTGGGAACCACAAACATCTCTTAGAACATTGTTTGGCGGGGCTATAGGCGAGCCGGGACGCTTCGCCACAGCTTGAAAGAATTCATGGTCCCCATACTACCTCTGTTGCCTATGTCTGCACAGTCCTCCTGTACATGGGCGTGCCCGACGCAACCATTAGGACGAACAAAAATCTATTTACACAACGTGCTATTGCTACGTTCCGGAAATTGCGGGATTTCTAACAGCCTTCGCGCGGGGTACACTTTGCGTCGAGAGTTGTCTACTCTGGCTGGCGCCGCTGGTCGGCCACCCGTTCGCAATCGAGTGGTCGCCCGTAAGGGGCTACTTGGCATTTGCTGACCCCCCTTCTCGTTGCCGAGCGCGGGAGGGACGATGGTGCACCGTCCAATCGCCCGCCGCCGCGCACCGCACGCCCCGGCGGATTTCCAAAGACCTGGCAAGGCGAATTACGCGCGACTCTGGAAGCTTCTCCAGGGTAAAGTTGAACAAATCCGGGAACGTGCTTGAACATGTCCGGCTTTTTTTTTGCAAAAAAAAATCGTTTTTTTTTGGGGGGGGGGGCAAACTTCCGGGAACAATTTTGAAAAATTCCGGAATCCATTTTGAAAAATTCCGGATTTCAGAATTCCTCAGATGTCCTGCGCGGCGGGCGCATTCCACCCCTCAAAACTGTTTTTTAAAAAATTCCGGGCTCCTTTTTGAAATATTCCAGAATCGCTTGCGCACAAAAGAAAACGGAAGCGTTTTCTGACACACTCTACAATCCAAAAATAATGTCCGGGCGGTCCGACGGGCGCGGCCGGCTGATTCACGCGCCGCGCCGCGCGCGATTGGGCGCGCCGCGCGCCGCGCGTTGCGCCCGCGAACAGTACTCGAAGGGGCTACCTCGAAAACAGCGCCACGGCAGCTGCGACTCGCGGACTCCCCAAGACCAGCACAGCATGCAGCTCGGAATCTTCGAGGGCGCTCCGGTGCGCGAAAAATGCACCGCGAACATCACGCAAAGAACCTGCGCGACGGAATGCGCTCGACCATTCGTCCCCGGAGCCCGCGCGGAAGAACAGGAAAACCTGGAAATCTGGAAAACTATCAATATCAATACTTCATGCTCCTCTGAACCATGGCCACGGAGGGCCGCAGGGCCCGCTGCAGGCCGCCGCAGAGCACACGTGCGCCCGGCGGAGTGTCTGCCGACCGGCGGTGCCGATTGCTCCTGGCCTGTCGGCGGCGACGATACAGTCGGGGCGTTGACCTAAGGAACGATAAATAAGGAACGAAGCCCCTTTTAATCCCAAGGAATAACGCATAAGGAACGATCAATAACAAATAATGCATAAGAAACTGTAAATAACGCATGTAAAATCTAAGGAACGACCGAGCCCCTTTTGAAAAGTAAGTGTTCCTGCCTCAAGCCGCTCACTGGAGGGGCGAGTAGCCCAGGAGCGGGCATTACACGCATTCCCCCGGGGAGCCCTGTCGAAGACATAGATCATCAGCGCCCTTGGATAATTACATGCATTGCTCCCCCCTGGGCTGTTCGCCTCTATCGTCGCCTCTGATCCTGTGCCGGAGGCCCTGCGCAGGCCGCGTGGCTCGACCCGGTTTTCCAACATCATGCACAAGTCGTTGGAAATCATGGCTCTTCTGCATCTCGAAAGCTCCTAGCGGCTGCTCCGTGGGTCTTCTTCGGGCGCCTGGGGGAGGTTTGGGGCCTCTTGGGGCCTCGGAGGGCTGCGTACCGGCGGCGAGAATGTTCGCAACTGCTGGGAGGTCTTCGTCGGAAAGAAGGAGGAGAATGAGGCCCAATTGGGGGGGTTACGAAGCCGGATGAGGCAGCGGATCCGGCGGTATGGAGCCGCATCCAGCGGGATGAAGCCGGATCAGAGCGACATGAAGCCGGATTCAACTGGATTTCGGACCAGGGCAAAATCAGAATTTGGCATCCCAGGAGTTGCATCCGAACCAATTGCTCCTGCCGATGCTGGAGGCAGTCCGCAAGCTGCTTGGCTCGAGGATGGAACGATTGCATCCCGGCGGTACAGTAGGGGCCCTACCAGAAGAAATCTTCCACAAGAAACCCAACCCTGAGACACCAGAACGTCCATGGATCTGGGGTGTGGGAGCGCCACGCCGTCCATGGCAAAACCACCGACGCCCAAGAAATCCAGGGCACTCTGGATCGGGAGCGGCAAAGAGGGGGGGGTCCAAGAGGGGGGGGTGCAAATCATGACCGGCGGCATGTGCGCGGCCCAGCGGGGGGGCCAGGGACGTAATGAAATAGGAAGCGGCGCCATGAAATCTGGGAAAATACCATGGCCCCCGCCATGATATCCACCCCCCCCCTAGTCATCACCCCCCTCTTTTCTGCCCCCGACTGGAGGCAAGCAGGGTGCCTCTTGGCATGGGCCTCCAATGTATACACCGGCGGGGAGGATGGCCTCGCGCGAGCCCTCCGCGGCTGGCCGGCTGCTCGTCGCCGTGATTGGGGCTGCGTGAATAGGCGCGCCCGCGGCCCGCGGGTCGGGCGGCCCCGCTGGCCCGGTGTTACCAGCCTCGAACGTATCCCTATCCCCAAGATGGACGCGCCAAAATACGATGGCAATCTCAGGGATTCGCCCTCAAAACCGAGGGGATCCCTGAGGTTGGCATCGTGATGAGGAGGTGCCCAGCATAGGGATAGGGACATGTTCCAGGCTGGAAATGGCGGCCCTCGCCCCGAGAGAGGCTCGCGGCCGTCCCTGTCAGACTCCCCGGTGGGCCGACGAGGAGGGCCGACGAGCCCCAGGGGGGCGCCCCAGGCGGGCCCCGAGGGCTCCGGAGAGGCCCCCCCAAGGCGGTCAAACAGGGAGCCGCCAGGAGGCGTCCAGAGCCGAAGATCCGAGAAGGCACTGCTGGTGGACACCCGTGCCTGCTCGGGTTGATCGCGAGTTTTCTGCTCGACGGCTGCACCCCCTCGCTGTTCCACTGCTCGCCCTAAACCTCTCTGATCAAGGCAAGCTGCCTGGGAATCGTTTCTGGGTGGGCTAGGTGGGGCAGGCGGAACGTCAATAATCCAACCAGCCCTCTGGGCGTTGGTGGTCTGGAGCGTTTCCTCTCCCACCTCACCCTTTCCCTTTCGGGGAGGGGTTTGCCC